GAGAGAGGGAGAGAGGGAGAGAGGAAGAGAGGGAGAGAGGGAGAGAGAGAGGAAGAAGAAGAGGAGGAGGAGGAGGAGGAGGAGGATAGGGGAGGAAGAGGAAGAGATATAGGCAAGCAGGCTGGAGATTCAAGAGTTACAGTTAAAAAAAAGTTACAGTTCAAGTACAAAGACAGCTGGAAAGCAGAATTTCTTCTTCCTGTGGGGAGGGCAGTCTCTGTTTTGTGAAGACCTTCATCTGATACGAACAGGGGAAGGGCAGTATGGGCAGGACAGGTGCAGAAAAAGATCTTGAGCCCTCTGCTATCTGATATTTATCAAAAACTCTGGAATGAGCATTTGAATTGGGGAGACTACATATTGAATTGGGTGAATTGGGGTCCTGCAGGCAAGACCTCTATTTCTCCCACTTATCGGATAGGGTTGTGCATGCAGCCATTTCCCAGCCGGCACCCAAAGCATTGTTAATTGATCACAGAACATTTTCCTTCTGAGTCTGGGAAAAACAAACAGAAGAACTCAACATAGTTCTTCAGACAGCTATGACAAATAATAAATAATTCAGATGTGGCGTGTGAATGGAAGTCTATTTGCCATCCCAGAGAAAGATAATAAATGTCACCCTGAATTCAGCCAGACCATGGAGGGCCTGTGTATTCAAGTGAACTGAGAAGTTCTGATGCTTTATGGGATTGATTTATTGCACTGTGCTCTGTGATTGTGTCAAGAGTTGCCATTGAGGGGATCTGGATGTAAATCTTTGTGTCACTTAGTTCCAATTAGCTCACTGCATCAGTTTCATGAGAAAATAGGATTTCCCTCAGAATTTATTTATTTACTTTTCCCCTCCCCTCCCCTCTCCCTCAGAATTTAAATTCAGGAAAAATTGTGCACCCATTAAATACAAAACAAAAGCAGTAACCCTATTGATTTTTATGTTATGAGCACTGGAAAGTTTCACATGATTGCATCTCCTCTTTTCTATGGCTATTCAAAAGCTTAGGGTCACATTTCTGGCCTGCCTTTGAAAACTGTCTTGGACCTGTTAGGTATGTACTTAAATCTTATCATTGGCTGTATTATTCTCCTTTTCCTGGCTTTCTTGCTGGTCTTCTTGACTTTTTCTTTAATCTAATTGTGTTTATATTTTAGTAAAGTGCCTCAATTCATTCGTGAAAGAAGGTGAGATAGAACCACCTGTAAAATCAACTCAGTCCTTTGTACAGGCTCTGTTTGTACCAATTTCTGAAAGTTTGTTTTTTCAGGCAAAATAATGCCTGAACATTGAAACATTTTATCAATAAGACAGGATTATCAGGATCTGGGTGAACTTAAAAAAATGTTCTTGAAACGTGTTCTTTTCACTGTGTTCCTTCTAGCAGAACATTTGATTATTCTCACTGTCTTCAAGCCAGAAATGGAATGGAGGGTGGGAAAGAGAAGGAAACAAAGAACTAATACTGCATGTGATTATAAAGTTTTTATTGTTGACATATGAAGAAATGCAAGTAGCAAGCCTTACTGCTACAAAGAGAGAAATTATAGCTTTCCATACATATGAAAATTGTAGATATTCAGTGAAAATTTACTGAGAATTTATTGAGTAAATGAATGTACAAACTACTATAAAAATAGCTCCCTAGGGTCAGGGATTTAGCTCATTGATTCCTCTGCCTGCCTCATAAGCACAAGGACCCGAGTTCGAACTCTGGTACAAAAAAGAAAGAAAGATGGCTCCCTAACTAATGGCTGCACCAAAATATTCCTGCTAATGGGATCAAAGAGACCTGTGTTTACCAAGTTCCTTTCCATTAACCAACTTCTTGGTACATCTTTCCTTTCTCATCATTTCTTAATTTTTAATTTTTTATAGACCCAAAGTCACACACAACATTTTCTTAGTTTCCTCTATAAGAGACAATACCATCAATCTTTTTCAATAGAAACATCAGTTCACTTGAGGGGTCAAACAGATCTAAGGACGGAAGATGAAAATTAAAACCTTAATCAAAAAGCATCATATGTTACCACCTAAAACCTACTACCACCACGGTAGCAGGCTAAGGAAGACTAAGATATGACAAATTATCTAATGTGAATTTAGCAATGACAAAGCAAAAAGCAAATTTGTCTTCCAAATGATATTTGGCCGGGAAAAGGTCAAGATAGTGGTAGGTGAAGCCAAATAAAAAGGACTAGGTACTAAGGGGAATCCAAGCTACAAAGACAAGCAGATGATGGTGGATCAGAAGGAAGCATTTGCTGTGTACTGTGCTATTCCCCTCTCCGCCTTCAGGATCCCCACCTAACAGTTGCTCAAGCTGAGTTGCCTAGTTCTGCCTTACAGGGTGCTGTGACTAGGTTTAGGACTGCCTAGGGCTTTAGGCAATTTAGGGTAGAACTTAGAGAACACGTCACACTTGGGCTGGCTCTGTTGCTAGTCTGAAGCATTCACAGGCAAAGGAGTCTGAGCTTCCCGATCACATTCAAACAACCTTAAATCACAGCCTCAGAAGTCTGAAATCTTAGCAGCAGCTGAGCTTCAGTTAAAGCCGAGAGGCTCACAAAATCATTAAGAAAGCCAGAATGAAATAATGCAGGTAGGAAATCCCAGGAGTCAGTCTCAGTCTGTCTTTCCCCAATGTCGGATAAACTAACATACATCTCATGGGATGTGGACAGCGGGAGCAAGCTGGGTTTTCTGCTGAATTTGTCATCAAATACTATAGGAAAACAAGGGGTGGGGATGACTTTCATTCTAATATAGAGACACAGCTGAACAGGTAGGAAGCAGATTCCCCACTGTGAGCTCTTCTGACGGCTTCTACAAGGATCATGGAGCTGCCAATTACCTGTACTTTCTAGAAATGCTTCATCTTGTCCTCCTGAAGAATGGAATCAGTGATCACTACTGCTTCATACCACGCACTGTTGATGGAGAAATGGCTTGACCAGAGATGATTCCTTGTGTCAAAGCAGCAAAAACTTGGGTTGCTCCTGCTGAGAAGAGTTTGCCAGCTGCACTGCAGATTGTGCCCCACGTGTCTGCCATGTCATCCACAAGGATAACCACATGGTCCTTCACATCTCCCACTGCACCATATGGACCACTTCATTGGCCTTCTTCCGTTCTTTGAGAATCAAAGCAAAGCCCACATTCAACAGGTCTGCGATGGAGCTTACTCTCTTGACTCCATCAGCATCAGGAGAGACAACAGTACGCCCCTCCACCCTCACATACTTTTCCTAATCCACTTCAGGGCAGCTGGCTCTGTATATCAACTGTCCACTGGGATATCAAAAAGGCACTGAATTTGACAAGCATGTAGAGCTTTGCTGATAATATGATCAGCATCTGCTACACATTGCATGTTAGTAACACGTTTGCTGAGATTGGAGCCCAACTCTTATCCTGCCAGATATAAGGAAATCCCAGCTAGCTGAAGTAATCTTGCAGGTATTAAACATCAAAAGCTCTACTAGCTTGTCGTTGATGTTATCACAACCACTCTGAACAATGTACACATCTTCTCCACATACACTTGCACCAACTTCCACATAGGTCTCCTGGTGGCTAACTGTCTAAGTCACCATTTTGCCTGTCTGCAAGCCCAAGCAGTCAGCAATTTTCTGGGATAAATCCTGGTGGGAGGTGCTGCTGACGATTTTGGTATTTAGCATCTTGGGCAACTACCCTAGATGTTGTTCAGCTATCACTGCTGCTATGGAGACAGAACCTAAGTCAGCCCAGACATTCAATACCAACCACCTTGTGTTGCTACTTCACCATTGTGCCTCATCATTTCTAGTCATACCCAACCCAACTTGGGCTGAACAACTTCAGATGCTAATTCTTGATTTTTGCTTGTATGTTTTTTGTTTAGTTTAGTTTAGTTTTGTTTGTTTGAGACAAGGTCTCACTATGCAGTTGAGACTGACTCACTATGTAGCCCAGGCTGGTTTCGAACTCACAGCCATCCTCCTGCCTCAGCCTCCTGAGTGCTGGAATTACAGGTGTGCACCACCATGCCTGGTTTAGATGCCAATTCTTGAGGCTTGTCTTATTTGTCAGGGAAGTGTGTGGTCCATAAATAAGGCTTGAAATGGAGGGAGCAAGGATAACAGAGTGACCTCAGAGCACAGAACTGCAATCGGAGTTTCAGACCTGTTGAGATGATGTCAGGACATCTTGTTGGATACACCAAGAAGGTAGGTGCCTGTGAAAAGTCATCTGGGGCAGACATCAGGAAACAGAGAAATAAGCTTATTCCACACATTTGCCTAACGTTTAGTCAGCGAAGGCCAAGGGGCTAAAATAAACACGATCTCATAGTTCTGGTTTAGAGAATATGAAAACTGGCTCGAAGGAACATGGCTCCACAGTTTAAATTCAGAAGCTGTGAAGAAATTCAGTTTAATTGGGCAATGGAACCTAGCGGGAAAGGACACGTCCAATGTTTGTTTCTCTATTGAGTCACTTATTCCCAGCACATCGAGTCATGGTGTTTGGAGATGGAAGAAACCTGAGGAAAGTCACTTTTTAGAGCTTGTTTTTAGGATCACAATCTGATTTCACCCCCAGAAGTGCTGCCAGTGCAGGCAGAAGGAGATGGGGGGAGTGTTGTGCGCAGGGCAGGGGCGGGGTCAGAGGTGTGGCTCAGGGTGGAGGGTGTGGCTGAGATGAACGGGTGTGGCCAAGGGGCTGGCAAAGTCTAGAGGGGCGTGGCCAGGGCTGTACGTTTTGAAGTAGCCGGCGCTAACGCCTGATGGGGGCGTGTCCTCGCACGAGGGGCGTGGCTGGCCTTGAAGGGAATTACGAGGTGGCCCCGCGCGCTACTCCCGAGTCTCGGGGAAGCGAGCGAGCGGAGAGATTAGTGCTCTAAAGGAAACGCTCAGGTAAGGATGGGCGGCCGAATGAAGTGGGGGCACCAGGGGGACGGACAAACCCAGAAAAGGCAGTGACCCTCCTCAGGACCCCAGCCCCAGAGCCGCGGCTCCGGATCTCGCAGCTGGGACAGCTGTTGGCCCTGAGAGTATAGCCTGCGTTCCGTGACAGGACCTGAAAGGGCATCGTCCTCCCCACTCAGCGCTCTTCCTCCTCTGTGGAAGTCACCAGACGGCAGACGGCTGCACCTTCTTTAGGGCTCTTTGCACTTGACGAGAAAACAGCTGTCCCAGACAGTTTGTGGGGAACAGGGCATTTGACTTCCTTGGGAAGGCACGTTGCCAGAGATGGTTGAATCTAAATAACTCCAGAAGTCCAGTCTGCTGTAAAATCGCTGGGACAAGGGTAAAGGCTACAAATCTGAGACTTCAGTTCCAGAAGCTGAGTAGTAGTGAGCTAAAACTCACTGGGTTTTGCACTGTGTTAGCCCCACACACTCACCCCACTACTCCCCCAGCCCCAGGAGCTGTGAACAGACTCAGAACCACCCCCAGGGCAGGGACAACATCACAGCTGTGCAGTAGACAAATCAGAGCTTTCTCCACTCTGCATTTCCTTTCTCGGGACTTTCTGTGGTGTGCCCCACCCTAGAGCTAGAGCAGAGGAACCTCCAAAGCAAAATTGTTGGGGACTGAGATATTTGGAGGCGTCCATCCTTAAAGGCTTCTGCCCTGAGGCTGGTGGCAGCTCATTAATACTATACTGTCCATGCCCTTCCCTCCTGGGTTGTTTCCTCAGGGAAAGTTTGAGAAATACAGGGAGTTCAAATGTGCACCTTAGCTGGGATACAACTTGTTCTCACTCAGTCACTGAAAACCGCATTGCTTTCTGCTTCCTCTTCTTTACTGACAATCTGGCTTTGTGCACACTGCTGTTTAAAAGCTTTGCTGGAATATGACAAGAGTAGCCCTATTTCTCCAGTGACAGAAGCTGCCCTAGACCCCTGACAGTCCCTATTCATTGCTCACAGTGACTGCTGTTAGGATCTGTTTGGAAATGGAAACCCTTTCAACTTCTTAGGAACTCTGCTCCTTAACTCAAATTTTTAAAAATCAGCAGCTGGGATGGAATTCATTGAAAAGCCCCAAAGCAGCAAGGGCACATTTGCTATGTCTGTCCTCTCCTGCCTTGTCCTTCCCAAAGCCAGACAAAAAGGATGGGGCCACTTAGTGTTCAAACCCAGTGAAGTTTAAATGAATTTTGAGGGCATGAGTGGAAAAGATTATTTTGGAAACCTGCTGGTTAGGGGAAAACACATTTCATCTCTGGCTGAACTGAGGCAGTGAGTTGTCACATACAGAGCAGTTATTAGATACGTATTTTAAAACTTTTGACTACCTCAAATTTGGGTTGTACTGCCAAGAAAGAAGTAAGAGAAAGGAGGAAGCTAAGCTTTCTCAGTCAAGATATGGCAGCATAATTGCTAGATTTCATGAAATGGCAAAAGGCCTGCTTCCTTTTGGAACTGGGAAATAAGAAAACAAAGGGTCAATCCAATGAGGATCGAGGAATTTCTTTAATGTAATTGTATCTTTTAGTCAAAGTTTGTTTGTTTGTTTTGCTGTCTGGTTTGAATAGATATAAATAGTTTAATTGGATAGAATTGAAACTACTTGTCATATAATAAATACACAACTTATGAAGTAGTCTAAGGGCTTTTTTGTATTATCATTTGAGACGTCTCGCTATGGAGTTCGAGCTGGTCTTGAACTCACTATGTAGGCCAAGCTAGCCTCGAACTGCCTCGGCTTCCCAAGTAGTAGGATTACAAGTGTGTACCACTACACCCAGCACTTTAAGGGGCTTCAAGAATCTCTTTTCCCACACTTTTCTAAGTCCATAAAATAGCAGATAAGGGACATTTTAGTAAAATACAAGGCTATACATAAATAATCAGTGATATAAGAGGGCATATCACAAAGCTTAGCTTAGCTTCCCTGTGACCCATGGAGCCCATGGAATACATTGTTATGGGAAAATTTAAGCACAGGCTTTTCATAAAATATGGTAGTAGTTCATTGTTATGTTTAATGTTTGATGATTAAGCATTATTTATGGTTTAATCAACTTGGATATTGTGAATTCAATGGGTAAATTATGAGGAACCAACTCTCAATAAAGTATTACTTTTAATGTACCAGAAGAGATCGGCCTTAGGCCTGAGCATTTAAAAACCCATGTGTTGTTATAGGCATTAGAGCTTGCTGTCAACCAAACAGTTTCTGTTCACTTGGATTTTCCTAGAACCCTCCTCACCCCGACCTTCCATGCTTGGTTGCTTTCTTCACTGTCTTTGCTCCTTCGCAGTTTCCTGGCACCCTTTACTCCTTTTTGTCCAACTTCCTCAGTACACCTGGAACCCATGGAGGGAGGGGATTTTCCTTTTGTCTCTGGCTTTGTAGTCACCCCTGAGCACCGAACTGCAATGCCAACTCTCCTAGATCTTCCCTCTTGGATATCCCTGCCATTGGCTTCTCACACCCAGCATGATTAGTGGTATAATCACCATCTTTCCCTCCACTCTTTCTCGTGCCAGGATCTATTCCTCTGTTCGGGGATTCGTCCTCATTCAGCCAGCATCAGCCAGCCATAAAATAAGGAGTCCTTTTTCAGCTTCTTCACTGAGTGCCAAACTCAACTTTTAAAGAAATCCAAGTGCTATCTTTTGGACACAGAGTACGTTGTGCATCTCTATTATCGCTGCTAGACACCAAGTATCATGTCTGTCTCTACTTCACTGCCCAGTACAGTGCTTCATGTTCTCTCACTTGGATTATTGGGTTACACTCAGACTTTGCATGCCCAAACTTGGGCCACTGGCTTTCCACCCAAAATCTGGCCCATCCACTGTCTCTTCCCCATCTCAGTTCAAGGTAACACTATCCTTTCAGTGATTTAAGCCAAGAATCTTCCAGTAATGCTTAATTTCTTTCTTTCACATCTTACAAACTCTATCTCCAACATGTATGTCCAACCACTTCTCACCACCTCTCTATACTGTGATATCTTCAGTTCAAGGCCTTGGATTATCCTAAATAGTCTTCCTGCTTCTTTCCTGTCTCTGTCCCACCCCGCAATTCCCCAGAGTTATTTTTTTGTTTGTGTGCGGTCCTGGAGATCAAAGCCAGCACTTCTCACGGGATAGAAGTGCTCTACCACTAAGCTATGGGTACCTCAGCCCTCCCAAGGAGATTTCTAATAGATCACACTAAGTGATCTTTTTTTTTTAATTTTAAATTGAATTTATTGATACATTCTAGGTATACAGCACAGTTACATTCATTAATGGGATCTTGTACCTTTACGTGCCAGGTCTTGGTTCTCATTTTTTCCCCTTGTCCCTGCCCTCCCTTCACCCCCTCCTCCCCTCCCCACCTTCAAACACTTTAATTCCATTTTTACATTTTCTCATATTTTTTTCCTTTTCCCTTGTTCCCCTTTCCCTATCCTTCTCACTGTCCCTACACCTTTGGTCCTTTCCTTCCTTTTTCACGTTGCTAATTGTACTGTTAGGATATCTTGAGTACTATTTTAGTTTTTCACACCAGAGAAACTATTCAGTATTTGCATATGTGTGACTTATTTATTTCACTTAGGAGTATATCCTCAAAATATACCCATTTACCTATGAATGAATCAACTTTCTCATTATGGCTGAGTAGTATTCCACTTTATAGAAAAACCACATCTTCTTTATCCATTTTCCAACTGATGGGCAGATGGGCTGTTTCCAAGTTTTAGCTATTACAAACTGTGCTGCTATAAACATGGGTGTGCATATATCACTGAGTGATCTTTTTGAAATGTCAACCAGATTATTATTCCTCTGCTTAAAAATCTTTATTTTACCCTCATTTCACTTAGAGCAGTGGTTCTCTACCTGGGCAAGCTCTTACTCCAGGGGCATCTGGCTGGCAGTGTCTGAAGACATTTTGTTGTTGTTACAGCTCTGGCGTAGGGTGCTAGTGGCATCTAGTGCATGCTAGCTAATACGGATGCTACCAAACATCCTGCAATACATAGATCAGCCCCCTCAGGACCAAGAATCATCTGGTCAAAAGTATCAACAATGTCAAGGTCAACAAACCCTGACTTTGCTAGGTGTCGGGCACACACACTGATACTCTAGAGGCTGAGGCAAGAAAATCAACATAGCCTTGATTCTATGGTGAGTTCAAGGCCAGTGTGAACTACATGGTGAGAACTTGTCGCCAAAAAAAGAAACCCTGACTTAGAGAAAGGCCCTCTACAATGGCGTAGAAGTATACTCGATTTAGCATCCATCACTTCTGGACTACGCCTATTCCTCTTAATTCTGCTTTACTTCTTTCTTGCCATATCCCTGGACTGTGCTGCCACTTGCAGGTCTTTGCACAAGCAGTTCCCCCTACCTGGAATGGCTCTCCTCTAGGTAGCCATATAACTAATTCCCAACCTCTTTCAGTCCTTTGCTCAAACTTCGGCTCCTCAATAAGGCCAAATACAACACCCCGTTTCCAGATTCACCTGGTCCTGCTCTGTACATTCTAGTTATGTCTAATTGACTTGTTTTTACATTTGTTGGATATCTGTATCTCTCTCTACTAAAATATAAGCTTAACAAGAGCAAGGATTTTGTTTTGTTTCCCCCAATGAACCTAGAATAGTGTCTAGCATTCCTCCTGTACTTAATTCAGTTAATATCTTGAAAAACAGAACGATGAATGGAGATTGGTTGAAGGAATCACATCCTCCCTCACTTTTCTGGTTCTACTTCGCTCCCTCCCATCCCTTCTGTGTTCTGCTGCCAGAGTCATCGAAGCCAGCAGTGCTTTCTCCTACACAGAGTGAATAATATCCCAAAGGCCTCCAGGATCTTGGAAACTTATAATCTCCTAATTAATCTGAAATCCCCATCCAGCCCCACCTCACGTTGCATCCCCAGGGCATCTGCTTGGCCAGCACATTGACA